AAGGCTAAAAATAACCCAACCTCGGGGTGGAGTGAAGTAATAGAGACGAAGGTCCTTTGGAACGTGGCTCTCGTGGCAATTCGGTCCTTCTGTCGACAACTTCAGATTCCCACCGCAAAATTGTAGAGGTAGGAAGCGAGCAATACTAAATTCTAGTACGTGATCGCGCGTGGTGCCGATATAGAATGGATCCGATATAAACGGAAAATATAACCCAAATCGAAAGGTCGCTCAAACCTGTGATTCGTATTTCGATTCAATGATTACTGTTTTCTTAACTTTATTAGCATTGCATACATATAATGTTTTAAAATTCGCATTTGTATCTTCTTAATGAGATTTTTTAATTAATTTAGAGTTACGTTTTATTTAACTAACTATAATATTTAAGCATTAATAGCTCTTTAATTTCTTCATAAATGGATTTCCTGAAGTCGGAGAAAATTATTATTTTTTTTTTTTCAAAATTTCTTTCAAATATTTCTTTTAAATATATTTATAATTATTAAACAAAACAGAAAAAATTAAAAAATATTTGAAATCTATGAAAAAAATAATGTATACATACATAGCCCTATTGTGCGTTAAAATTAATTATTCGTGAAAGGATTTTACATACTAAAACTCTCTCTTTCTCTTAATGTATACATATGTGTCAATATTCCTGAAGAGATTAATTATGCGATACAATAATATAAACATGTATTTGTACATAAACTGTTTCAAGAGGCGCACAAATGTGTGAATGGAAGTAGAAGGTCGTTAACATTATCAGAAATTATTATACGCATACAGAGACATATATGAATAGTTGTTATCTGTATTGTTAAGAGATGGATCGCGGAAATTGATTTATCAATGGTAAATAACGAGAAGAGAATAAATAACGAGCTCCAATAAATTGTAGCCGGATGTTTCCAGATTTATAATAATAGGGCACTGCGAGGAACACAGCCGTAGGATATATATCGGAAAGCATAAATCATAGAGCCTCCCACTGATCTCGGACCTTTTCCACGGATCTCATCATCAATTTCTTTCCGTTATCTCTACCAAGTATACGACCAAAAGTTGACATTAAGCACTCAATGTGTCATCGCAACGGTCATGTCTCGCCTCGTAAATTATATGTCAAAATAAATTTTCAGGCACATCGCAACAAGATACTTTATCTATTTTTAAATGCGGAAGTCGTAATTTCTCGATTGAGAATATCACGACGTGTTTAGAAGTAAAAGGTTTGGTGGTCTGCCATAGAGATGCAAATCAAATTATGTAAATCTTTATACGAAGGAAATAAAAGGCAATCAAGAGCCAATGCGGTAATTTGTGCACATGTAAACCTATTATTTATGTAATCTATTTATTATACATACAATATTTAATATATATTTTGAGATATAAAGATAAAAATATAAATATAAAGTAAAAATAAATAACATAAAACATTTAATTATATATATAAAGTTAATTTAAAAATATTTCGAAATATCTCAAATATATTTTTTGACCATTTTATAACATTGGGCAAAATATCTAGCTCTCGCATCCAATCCTTACGATTCCAAATCGAAAGATTAAATCTAAAGTCCCGGCTTGTGGTCAGCCAAGGGACAAACATCGGGAATTGAAATTCTTAACACTGAATGAGCGGGATAGGAAGTGACTAATAGGAAGTTCTGCCCCTATGGCGCTAAAGGGGTGACGAACGCCCGACCGCATACAGGAAATGTATCCAATGGACATGAATCGAAATAGCAATGAGGAATAGAGGCGAACAACGGTGAATAGACTGGCAACCGTGGCTTTTTGATTGCTATAACATATATTTTGAATTATCGCCATATTGAGTTATATGTTCTTACACAATGAAAATATTACTGTAATATATCTACAATTTTTGAAAAGTATATAATTGAATAAGTTTTTAAACATATCTTTCTTGCTTTTATGTCCAATAAAATATATAATGCAAATAAAGAAAGTATTATATCATTTATCTGCAAATTATGGTTGAAGAAAAAAACTGTTCTTTTATTTAATGACGTTATATTTTAATGTTGTTATATTTTTAACATCATTAAATAATGACGTTATTTTTTTCGCATTTATTTTGAACAATTTAAAGCGATTTTACGCTTTTCACGATAGTGATTAGTCCACTTATGTCTTCTTAGTTCTTTATATTTAACCGTAGAAGCAATGAAATATTGAGCATCCTTTCAAGTACGTTATCTCGATATTACATTTAAAAGATGAAACCAAGTCATGGTGGCTTCTAGTTAAAAGCCGGCTCTCCAAAACCTTTTTCCCACGTTAAGATTAAAAATCCGTCGACGAAGTAAGGAAGGGAGAAAGGAAGGAAGGGATCTCTTACGTGATCAAGAAAGTTCTTTGGTAATCATTAAACCGTCGAAGAACGTTCTCAACAAGGCCGACCGTCGGCGCTCCCGTGGTATTTTATTGAAAAATGCCGGGTTCTCTCCTGCCAGGGCTGATGGAACGAATGCCTGGATTAAGACCAGTAAAGGAGATCTTAGGATCTCTGATTTTTTTGCGAGTCGACCGGAAGAAAAATCTGTGGCCGGTCAGGCAAGGAAAAAAAAGTCTATGGAAGATGCGCGCGAAGTAAGATCAGTGACGAGGAAAATCAGAAAAGGCAGTGAAACTGAAACGCGCAAGAAAGAGAGAACAAATATAAAGAAATGAAAAGGAGAGACGCTAGAGAAGTTGGGAAAACGAAAAAACTTGAGACTCAGTAAAGAATCGAGGGAGCAAGTGGGTTAGGCCAAGGGACAGTGGTTCTCGAGACGGCGAGAACGAAGGGTGGAGGGAAGCGAAGAAGCTGTAAGTCGGTAGGCGGGGGGTGGTGATCGAGTGGGACGAATTGACAAATTCCAGGGCGATCCTGGAACACGGCCAGGACCGCGATTTCTATCGCCGAGTATGCCGACAACAAACAGAAAAAGAATAACGGGCCGAAAGAACGCCCATGCTCGGGTCGGATCGAATGATCGATAGCCGCGAATAATGCTTGGGAAATCTTGGCAGCAAAAAGTATTTATCAGTATTATTCCTGTGGGAGCTTTGACGCTGTCCCGGTGATTAAAACTCAATACCCGACGATCTTCTAACAATTTTCTCAGACGAAACAAACGATTCAGACTTAATTTTAGACCAATGAATTAGTCTTTTTTCAAATGTGTGCAAATCAATGGATCAATGGAAAAAAGAATCTTGTGCATGCATATTAATCAATATATTAACATTTTCAATAAAATAATGTGTCAAAAATTACTAAAAATTTTATTAATTATCTTGATTTGAAATAGAGATGATTCGAAAGTAAAAGAGATTATTTATCCAACATATACGTTTGAGAAAGTTATCAGAACTAATATTTTATCACAAGATTTTTGTTTAATCAATTTAGTCAATCTATTTTATATAAATAGACTATTCTTAAAGATCTTATTTTTTTAGTGTGCAATTCAATAACATTGCATTTTATTATTATGAAAGCAGTATTGATGCGAATGAAAAATAAAGAAATAATGCATTAATGGACTGAAAAAAAATCAAGTGTTTTTGTTTTGCGAATAGCTGGAGGCTCGTAAAAATATTCTACCCGATTAAGTGGAAACTTTTTTAATTGGAAAACAGATCACGCGCAGCAAGGCGTCAGAATAATACTGATACGATGGAGAAGTAGTAGCGAACTGTTCTCGAAACGCTACTGTCAAAACAAAGACGCAATTTACCGATGGAATCATTGAATTAGGTTTTGTAAGCAAACGCAACAAATGGAAAGGAGACTTAACAATGTATTTATTTTTAATTTTGAGACTGTGTCATATACCAATGTATACTAGTAAACGGAGGGAGAATAATTAAAAATATAATTAATCAAGTATATCTGAATTTAATTAAGTCAAAAAAAATTTTTATCTACAAGTATATTGCTTTTCTAAAATCTGTTACCCATCTCATTAAAGAAAAAATTAACAATTGATTAAGAGATCGACAATATATATCGTAAAATGATCAAATATATGTTAAATATACAAATTATATAAGTTTTTAATTTTAGAGATAAATTATTTATAATTAGAGAATTTTTTTTTTTATAGTTAAATTATCAAGTTAAAATACAAATTTGTGAAAATTACGGTTGATGAAAAACACTCAGAATATTAACGTAGAAATATTTTATTGATCTGAGAGACATTTTAATTGCATCCTGGTGCATATCACGAATATCTATGTATTCGCATATATATGAACGCGACATCGAAGCGCCGAGCGTTGTAAGAGCCATTAATAAGAGTCGCTTAATTTCACGAGAACCCGCAGGCCTCAACTATTATCTGGAAAATGTAACTTGTTCGAAGAACGATTAAACGGAGGCCACGAAAATATGTCAACCCGCAGCGGCTTGCATCTGACGGGAAACCTATAGATGGAACACAACCATTAATGAGATGACAAATGTGTTCTTGTCGACGAGAAACGCACGCTTTGTGCGAAAATTGGATATTTAATATCATAATTTAAACTGTTATTAATTTAAACTGTTTATATCGATCTTTCACTGATTTTATTACAATAAACATTCTTGTCAACGTAATAAGCAAAGAGTCAAAGAAGAAAACCAATTAAGTTCAGGAACCGAACTTCTCTCAGGAAATATGACAAACGCATTATTCTTGAAAATTAAAATTGTATTACTTTCATAGATATATTTATTTGATTTGAAAGATGTATTCAATAGAATTTTCGATCTGTGACAGTTTCATCTCTGTTGTAAATATATATTATATAATTTGCTTAATTTGTACAATAAAAATCTAAAAAATGTGGAAACTAAATTGAATTGTATTTTCTTTTTGCTCTTTAATTACTGCCTGTCATTGACAGATTATTTCTTCGCTTAGTCTCATTTGATAAATTGAACAATATGGTTTTAACCGAAAGATGTAATAATCCCGATGTAATTTCAGGTGAACTGCCAGCCGCCGTGCACGACGGCAACGGAGTTTCGAGAGCGTTCCTTAATCTTTGGCTGGTTCACCTGACGATGAGCTATGTCTTCACCAGATGACAGTATTAAGGTGAGTGATAATACAGAGAAAGTTTTCAGCAAACTTTGTCGGAATATATATTTTTTTGACAAAAATAACAAGGTATATTGTCATGAGATATGATACCACACTTTACATATTATGATTTTAATATCGAAGAAAAAAGCGGGATTTATGATGTATTACATATGAGTTTCAGATTTTTTAATGAGAAATTCTCTCTCTCTCTCTCTATTTTAAAAGAGCCAATTATTTTTGCTTTGGCAAAATTCAAATTTTAAAGTGCATTAAAGTTACATAAACGCACTTATAAACTCATGCAATATGTATGTAAGTGCATATAAAGTATATGTAGGTATAATTTTTATAGCTGATGTTATTTTAATAAGTTTTTCAATATTATAAACTTTTAATCTAATTTTTTAATATAAATTTGTGATATACTTTTTAATATTATTAACTTATCCGTAATTTGAAAAAATAATTATCTCTATATAAGATTATTTTTTGTTCTTATATTTAAAAAAAATGTTAACCGGAAAAATATAAAAGTAAATGAATGAAAATAGGGAAAGTTGTCTTTCTCATGAAACTTCTGAATATAATACGAGAATGTGAAAGTATGAACGACCTCGCAATTTCGAACCCTGAAAATTGCTTTGCGGATTATTAAATAATCATGCCCGATAATCCACTACCGTGAAATTGGCATATCGAAATTTGTTTGAAAATAATCCACACCGCTGTTGAAAATCGTTATGATGCCGTCATGAATTGTTGCAATAAAATTAAGATGCCGCATTTATATTATGATTATTCTGAATTATTTGAATAGTTTTCATAATGCTTCATAAAACGCTTTAGGCGGTTGTCGAAAATAATTTCTTGTTTTCCTGGAAAATCTTCGTTAAATCTCCCTTCAACCTTTTCGAGTTTATCATACCTTTTCATGTTGCTTTTTTTGCAGGCTGACCATATACTCTTTGTTTTCTCATGGTACAAGTTGTCTTTCTTTTTCTGACAATTTTGGTCTTTTTTTTATGTAGCCGCCTAAATCCGAGTTTTAGATGAGTTCTCAGGAAGCTCATCGACTTATAAAAAGCTCGAGCCAACAGAGTTTCTGGGTTAACGCGAAATATACATATTTCCGCGAGAGAAGAAAAGAAGAGCGAAAGGATCACCGTGGCTTCTCGGAGATATCGAATCCCTTATGCGATAGCGAATCGATCGACATGAATGTTATTTTGAATAACTTCGGATCAGAAACAGGATTTTATTTCAAAAATGTTTAGTTGAGAAACGAAATAAATAATGATATTTTTTGAATGTTTGAAAGACTGCATAACAATTAAATATATGCAAAATACATATCGTATATTTAAAATGATTTTTGTGGTATACAATATTCGCAAAAATTCGCATACTTCTTTTCGACTACATATTTTTCCACAAATCAGATTTACAGTGCATAAATAGAATTTGTAGCATTCATATTTTTCCTCATTCTAATTATGTATAATTTTATGTAAGATATAAATTGAATAATTTAAGATAGAGAAAATTTAAACAAAATTATTTGCATTTTTATTTATATATAGTGTTATACATAACTCTATATATCATGTACTAATTACGTCATTGCTTATGCATTTTGATTCTTATTTGCTGTTTTCCTTTGATTCCAAAGTTTTTCGGCTAATTATGTGAAGACTTCAATTAAAGTTTTAATGATATTAATAACTTCCAATTTTATTTCAAGCACCAGCATTTTCGACCGGTAATGAAATCACGTGATGGGGTTGCCGTTATCGGAAATTTTATTAGAGCCACGTAATCCGATGTTTCGTCGATGAGCTTTTTTTCTCGTGCATCGTATACGTAATTACATGAGACACTAACTAATTAAAAACGGCTAACTAGAGCAAAAAATGAGATGACGTTCTTCGAAGGTATTATTAGAAAGGTAAATGTGGCATTCTACAAATTTAAATAATTGCATTCCAACTTTATTTGATTAATCAGCAAGTAAAATGTTTTACGAAATCTGAAAAAAAGAAACAAACTTTTAAATATACTTTCTTTATATATATATTTTTTGCAGCTGAAAAAGTGTAACGAAAAAACCGTTTATTCGGAAGATTATATAAATCCCATAGAGAGAAAAGTTGCTCTAGATTGCTAATTTATGTTTATGAGTATGTTATCGTGATTTTAAATTTTTTAGATATAGACTTAAATTGTCGAAAATCACGATTCAAATTGAAACAATTTGCTTAAATGAAATTTAAATGCGCCAAAATTTACGCTTTGATGGACAATATTTATTTGCTCAATTATTAGTTGCTCGATCATAAGAATTAAGTATTGTAAACAACATGAAAATTTACAACTTCAGCCTTTATTATTATTTATATGATTTCACCTCTGTGTCAAATAACTTCCAACTTAATTACAAACAAAATGTATATTTGTTATATTATTTATTGGATGTTTTGTAATTATTTTCGCATCCATGCACAATTTAAAAAAATAAAGAATAATTGTTTTCATCTAATTATTACATCGAAATAATCGAATGTATGGAGACTCTCTCCAATTTATTTTATTATCGATATATTGAATTAAAGTGAAACTTATATTTGTAGAATTTTTATTGAAATTTTTTGCAATATGATATGTATGACAGCCTTTTGTAAAACTAAATTTTGCAAAATGTAATAAATGCTACTTTGTATTATACAAAAAATATTACGCGAATATTTTTTTATTCCGCATATACATATTTTATTATATTTGTTCGTTTATATATTTGTTACAATTTAAAATATTATTGCATTAAGCAAATTTTTTTATTAAAAATTCTACTTGAAAATATAATTAAATTTTTCTATAATAGGATATTAGGCTTCTTTTTGTATCAAAATTAAGAAATAAAAATATAAAAATAATTTATAGCAACATATAATTAAATATTTTCAAATAAATTATTTTAACAATTTATTTTTATAGTAGGAAAACTGTTAGGCTTCAAACTTAATTTTTAACTAATTGTTATATACCCGAACAGAGAGAGAGAGAGAGAGAAAAAAAGAGAGAGAGCATATGGATTCTTAAATAGCTTCCAACTTAAATTGCTCAAAACTGGCTTCTGCGTGGTGTGTGGTTTCCTTTTATATAAATGTTGAAAATTACTTTAACTAGGTAAACTAAAGCTAAGTTCTGCATTTATCTTCGACTTCATATTTTTAACTGTTTGCAATCGTCAATTAATTAAGCATTTCAGAAAAATCTTGCATTAGCACATACATAATTTTTTTATTACGATAATTTATTGCGCTATAAGACTTAGCAAAATTATTACCCTGTATTATCGCTTGTCCACTACGTGACAACAATTTCACTTGCGTATTACCGAGCTTCCAGCTGTTATCGAGAAATGAATGGCGTTGCGTACCAACGATAATTGCAAGTTTTCGCGCGTTTGCCATCGAAGCGGCGGGATCGCGCAACCGCATCATAAAGCAACGCGAGCGCCGGATCATCCATATCGCGGCTCTCGAATGCGTAACGTGAATTAACCGATATTCATAATTCAAGCTTTTATCGTCGCCGCGTCGAATCCCCCATTGTGAAGATATAATTTCGCGATGAACCGCGGGAGGAAGCGGGGATTCGGGCGAGGTGACGGGGATGGTGAATGCGGGGGGTGAAGGAACAGAGGGTTGGAAAGGGGGAGGGAAAGGGGGTTGATGCTGCGGCATTGCCGTATGACGGCTTCCGCGGAAACTATAGCTTATACGATATAGTTTCTACCGCGGTATCTCTCACCTCTGCGCTTTCATTATCAGCCGCCATAGATCACGGCGTGAGCTCCTATGACGTCACATCCGTCCATCCCTCATCGCAAAACACCGTTGTTATAGGTGGGTACAACACACAACGAGAGAGAGAGAGAGAGAGAGAGAGAGGAGTACACTACTCTTTC